TTCTCTCTCTTTTTCTCTCTTTCTCTCCCTTTCTCTCCCACTCTTTCTTCACCCTTTCATTCTCTCTTTCTCTCTCGAGACACGACGAGCCGCCCTTGATCCGTATCTCGAGCTAACTATAAGATTCCTCCAAGTGTTCAGCGTTTCCTTCTTTCTTTCAACCTTTTACGCTCTGAAGATACTGTATCTCCTTGTAGGTAAAGAAGTGTAGGAGAGTATTGATTGTATTTTGAGTAAGAGGAATTGATAGGAATTAACCCCTTGCCTTATAATATCGTGCCAGGCTCGTGATTTCAAGTAGCACTGGACAAATAATATTATTTAATTTGTTTGAGTGCAAATTACATATTTCTCTGTTATCAATGATTATACCTTACAGCACACGTTGATATAGAATAAGACTGGAATTTCTCTTATTTTCATTATTAAGAACAAAGTGGATAGATCACAGTTTACAAATGGCAAGCAGCAGTTTAAATCATAGGGCAAGGGGTTAATAAGTATTGTTAAGATTATTCGTGATAAGTGGCTATGGCTTGAAGTTGAAGTACTGTTACCATTGAATTGTTGCTTAAAATTCAATTTCATTCAGTTTAGCTTTATAAAATTAGGCTCAAGTAATGGAATATTTATCTGTAAGTAGATGTGGAAAGTAAGGATAACTGTAGTGATAACGATACTATTTTCAGGTGGTGAAGGGTCAAGAAAGAGAAACGGACACTGTCGTACGTTGCATGTACCGCGAGACAGGAAACCAGCGTATCAAGATAGCAGGCCCTACGCGAGACGACTCGTCGACGAGCTGCACTGTGACCTGCCCTCGACACCCTCGAGGCAAGGACCGTTTTCTTTTCTCCCGTTGTATGTATATAGCTCGGTGTACACGCGGAGAAAGTCGATTTGTAAACGAGACTTTTTGTAGGTGTCGAATGAATGCCGTGTGACCTGAATTCGTGTGACGCAAAACATTAATGGAAAACCAATAGATAAAGTAGAAGCGAGATGTGTGTCTTTAGCGATCGTTTATGGATCCTTTTTCAACACTAGTTTGTAGCAGGGGTCTTCCCTAGTTTGCCTCTGAGAAGCGTTTACGTATCGTATACATGTATATATATAACTCTAGTCTATCTGTTCGATGGAAGATTAGAGCAAAACGTAACAACCCTTCGAATTTGTCGACTCTGGATCACGTCCCTTTCAGATTTACAAATTTCTCTTAGCACTCGAGACAGGGATTCTCCCTGGTTCCCCTCTGACAATCAGAAACCCGTATCGTATACATGTATATGTTTCTATTCTGCCGGTGCAACGTAAGATTAGAGCGAAACCTGGCGATTCGATAAATCTCTGAAATGTTTCCAAAGGTATGAATAGTACTCCGAGTCTTCTTCACTCTTTATTTGAGTGCAGCGTGTATTATGAGACTTTGGAAGGCGCTTGCAATAATTTGTATTGGTGTTTTCGTAAACGGTAAACATTAGAGAAAAACTGAAGAGGAGAAAGTAGTACATTTTACTAGCAATAACAGCAAATCTAAATTTTCTTGTATTTCCAATATTTCTCTAGAAACAAAGGTGATTTTTTTAAAAGGAATGCTATATTTCACATCATAGAAAAGCAGACATTAACACTGGAACTACCAAGTTAAACTGACTTTTCTAAATGTCTTTATAAAACAATTCTCTATTCATTACGATCTCAATTGGTTTATATTTCAGTGTAGGTATTAATCTTCAACAATTTCTCAGAGAAGCATCTGTGCCTTCTCAGTAATTGTATAAAAAGAAATTAGTAGTTCTAGTATTAAGACAACCTCAACCATCTACTATACTGTCCTTCAGACTCACACAAGCACAGGAATAAGAAATACATTTAACACTTAACGTTTTCCTCTAATGTTTATCATTCACAAAAAACCGATATTATTGCAAACACCCTGTGTCCTTTATTTTGCCCGTTTCGCACCAAGCGTACGCAGACCGGACAAGCGATAGAAAACTGCTCGCAGGACTCTCGAAGGGTTCACTGGACGCTTTCACCCGACGCTTTCCCTTCAGGGAAGCCTCGAGATCATCATCGACAGTTCAGAGCCTTTCTCGAGACTGCGAATGGTTCCGACGAGCCTAAATCACGCGGCCTATCAAGTGTGTCGTTCTAAACCGCCGGTTCGACCGAGGCAACAAAGGATGATTACGTGTTGTTCCTTATCGCGTACTGTCGTACCTGTAACCGGGCATATTTTGGAAGTTGAGAATGTCGCTGTTCACGTTGTCCAGCACCGCGTGCTCCGGGTGGTGGTTCTTCGGCGGCGGCGGTTTCTTCACGTACGGCTGATCGTACTTCTGGACGGTGCTCTTCCTTCTGCGAGAAAATACCGGATTAACGAAGGCAGCCGGTTCCCCGGGTTCGACGATACACCATATATAGAACATCATTTAAGAAGCGCATGCAGACTACGGGCTGAGGAAATTTTTCGTTCCTTTTAGCGTGAAATCTTTGAATAGACCGCATACGTGACTGTGAGTCCAGCGAACGTTACATTCACACTGTAACACGTTAAGCGCCACGAATCTTGAGCGTTTTTTTCTGTAGTTCTGCTTTTGTAGTAAAGCAGGGACAATGATTGATAATTTACAATGTTATCAAGTTATGGTAAATATCTTCATTTCACATTTGTTGTTTTGTACGATTTTAGTTATTTAGGAACGTCACCGGTGACCAACATGGCGCTTGACGTGTTAATAATTAGAACACATTCGTCTGTCACGTATGCTGTCCACGAGTCCTTTGAGAAATAAGAAATTTAACGTGCGCGATACTCTACAATAAATAAGTGTAGTACTTCGGTTTCAGGCTCTGAACGTGAGAATTCTTTGTATAGGTAGACGTTAAGACTTTGTTAATCAATGATCGAATCGTTTAATCGCAGTTAAAGGAACAGATTTTCTAAAGTAAGATGATCGAATCATTCATTTTGTATTATTGTTTCCAGGTGGTCAGAGGAAACCGAACGTTCCACTTGCGTCAACACTGAAATAATCGCATCGTATGCTCCGATCTAGCGAAGCTTTAGCGCTCGTCTATCCGGGATTCATGGGCGTGGTGTCATGCGTAACAACGGAAAGAGTTAACCAGTTAAACGGTGCGCCCCTCGGCTGGCTTTTCAGCCACCCTGGGTTCGCCCTCCGCTGCGGTACCCATTCATCGAATTCCCAGAATCGAAGAGTGTCTGTTAAGATACACGATGCGAAGGGGAGGACGCGCTTCGCTCCTCTCCCTCGTCGCGCGGCGCAACCGTGCAGAGGTACGTCCTACATGACCCGATTCAGTAACATTTAACCGTTTGCACTAAGAAGTTTTCCGCTAGAAATATTTGAACATTTTCTAATAACGATATTTCATGAAACTAACTCGAAGAGAAATTAATTAATGTTACTAAATCAATTTCCAGAGAAGCATTTGTTATCTTTTCAACAATGGTAAGAGAGATTCATTTTGACCCATTCGGTAATTTGTGGTAACCCCTTGCCCTATGATTTATTTTTCAACTATGATTGGCACAACTACTTTGCCATTAATAATTTATTAAGAGACAAATTTTAGGTATATTCTCCATGTTTGCTTTGAATTATAATAATTGATAACAGAAGGATATTTCATTTGTATTCACAATAATTGAGTAATATTTATATTTAAGTTCTGTTTAAAACCTTCAACGAGTCTCACGTTATAAGGTAAGGGGTTAAATATCAAATTTTATAGTTTACTGCATCAAATCAACTGAGAGTAGCTCTCTAGTGCAAAGGGTTAATATCATCTGTCATCAAAATGAAGTATCTTATCAACAGATTCTTTGGAACCTCTACAAAGCTTCAAGCCCAGTGAATTTCCACGTGTGGTTCTGTATAAGAACCAGGTACACAGTACTAAGTAAACCACTATTAACCGCAGCATTATTTTTTCAATGTAATTCTTTCAACGTTCAGATATCTAACACGAGACTTTTGTTATCCAGACGATTCTGCGAAAGCGATCAAGACATCTTTACTCTCTCCGAGTAGCCAAGTTTTGCCGGCGCGTTTGCTGAAAGCTTTTGCGTGGGAGTTTTGCGGAGATACAGGGAGGAGGTGTCATAGTCGTAGCAACGATCAAATAGCGACACGGTGTCATAAGGACGAGATCATCTTGTCACTCTCGTCGCAGTGAGTTTCGAGTTGGTTGTCAGTGTGTGTCGTTCGTTGCGACGAGTATCGTGCGCGTGTCGTGTCCGCGCGGCGGCGCGGCGGCAGCGGCAGCGGCAGCGACTGCGGCAGCGGCGGCGGCGGCGGCGGCGGCAGCTGCGATGATGCTTTCAAGCTATTGTCCGTTTTTCTTTTTTTTTGCGATAGAAATCATTGGCGAAGCGCGCGCGCGTCGGTGTTTCTCTCTTTCGTCGCGAGAAAGCACACGCGCGCGCATATACGTAGTGAGAACAAAGTAATAGAACACAAGGGTAAATCAAGATAAATTGATACGAACTGAAAATAAATCGTAAGCGAAAAAGAGAGACAATAAACAGTTACGGACTCTAAAGATATACATGTAAATATATATGCACGGTGGTCTGTTCTTGCGTGTTAGTTGGTTTAAAGGGTGACGAAGGGAATGAGGGAGCGAGGAGCAGGGAGGATG